GCTTTCCTAGGAGAATGCTGTGGGAGATTGTAACAAAAGCTTTACGAAAGTCCAGGTAGATGACATCCACAGCCTTCCCCTCATCGACTAGGCAGGTCACCTGGTCATAGAAGGAGATCAGGTTGGTTAAACAGGACCTGCCCTTCATGAACCCGTGCTGGCTGGGCCTGAGATCCTGGTTGTCCCTGCCAAAAGCAAGACTATACATGTCAGACACATTAATTCCATTAGAAAACTTTTTGGCAACTCTGATTTTTGCTTTTATGAATTATCTTTTCCAGTCTATTTACCTTTGTCTATGTTTGGCATGGATATTAGATAGATACCAAGGTGCTCTGCAATCCTAAATGTATTTCTTCCCATAATGCTGTGAGCTACCAAAGTTTTACTAATCTAATCTGAAAACAGAGAAACTAAATGGTCCGCTCAAATCACAACTGAAACAAAGCAACAGATGACTGTGATGCAGTGATGCCGAGTATAGTGCTCCAACCATTCAGCTCTTTCTCCACCATGAATCCAGTGATACTTGGTTTCGGCATCACTTCAGATAGTCTAAATTAGAAAATAAAAAGGTGCTGTTTCAAAGCCTGGCTACTGAAGAGGAGACTCTCTGTTCTGGGTTGAAAAAAGGAATTTTAAAAAACACAGAGAGACCAAGGATTCTGTGCATACATTCTGCCAATATGACCATTAAGCTTGTTCTCATCAGTTTATTTTTTCCACTATTACTATAATCAACTGTTAAGAAAGCAAATAAACTAAATAGTTAAGTACTGATAAAAACATAAGCCTTGCATTTAGAAATACTTGTACAAAATTGAGGATTTTAAAATTGCATACCTAAAGATGGAAATTGAGCACTTTATGATTGCACAGATCTGTATTAAAATACACATCTTGATGATGTCTAAACATTAAGCCTGGGGATGCTGCATGTATTCTTAAAGCATTTGAGGGGGTCTTCACTTGTGCTGCAGAAATCCTTTTCCATTATATACGACTACTAGTACTAACACAGAACACATGTAGCATGTATGAAAGTTAACTGTGCAAACAGCACCTAATACCTTGCCTCCATATAGCCACAGCTTAAAAAAAAAAACCAAAACACAACAGGAACTGGCAGTAAACAGAAGAGTCAGTAAGTATCATTCCGAATGACCTGACAAATACTAGCAATGCTCTCCATTTCTCAATGGCAAGATATTTAACTCTTGCTCCCAAACTCACGATAGAACACACAAAGTATGCAAGTACATGCTCATTATATCCATATTAGGCACATACATTCCTTTGTGTGTTGCTTTGCCTCATATATATAAATAGTCAGTAGACCTACCCCAACAGTCGTATGTTGGACACAGATTGCCTCTATGTGATTCAGCTCTGAAAAACCTTTTATTTACTGGGTATCACCACATGATCTCCAGCTTTTCTCTCACTAAGCATGAGTAAAGTTGAGAGGTGGGATGAATCTGACCTGTAATAAACTATGTCTTAACTACAGGGTTGAGTCAGTTCATATTTCTGCAACCCTGACAGAGACAGCCAAAGGTGCAAGTGAAATCAGGATTTTTATGTATCCTATCAGGAGCAGTCTTAAAAGAACTACAAGTCATGTTCATATGACTAGAATTGATAGTTTTCCTTTATAAAGAGTAGGCCACAAAATACTGATTACAACGACCTGCTGAAGTGTAGACTGGGCTACTTACAAAATATACGTGAGTGATCGCACATTGCTGAAGTGCTTTTAATAAAAAATTCAAACTGTTTTAAGCATTTAACTATACTTTTTGCTTTTCTGTGACAGAGCAAGACATTTTCGTCTTTCAAAACTTCACATTTTTCTGTATTATGCCTGATCGACATGCATTTTCATGCAATTCTTCAGCATGCCTACAAATTAGAATTTTAAAATCACTGTGAGCATAATTAGCTTAATTCTAAGAAATGCACTTTTTAAACTACTGTTTTCTACATCAAGAGTTGGACTAGATCTCCAGAGGTCCCTTCCGACTCCTACCATTCTGTGATTCTGTGAAATATGTACAAACAGAATGTTTCAGAAATGTGTAGTCTGTTCCTTCTTGGTCTGCTAGAAGTTCAATAGGTGGCTTAATGGAATCATGGGTACTCAATGCTCTCCCTAAAGGGCTGAATATTAGATCTTTAGCACTGACTCTCTCAATTAGAAATATTAATCTGAAATTCAGTATTTTACTAAAGAAACATTTGAAACGGTTTAAAATAGCTGTTTTACTCAGATGACTAAGCTTTCACTTGTTAGCAGCATTTCATAAGTACTTCACTTACTGTCTTCCACCCTACACAATAGTTGAATTTCCAATGCAAAAGCCAGAAAAAGAGTAAAGCTCTTCCTATATCATAAAGAAGCTACGTTATACACTGGTGCACAGCTTTTAAATACCGGAAACATAAATTTGCCTTACCTAAAGAACATGTAGTTTGTTTAGTCAGGACACTCTACGTTAATATAGTGATGCTAAATATGTTTCTTCCCAAGTGTTCTAGAATGCCATCAAAGTTTTCTTCAGATGTTTTACTTATACAGTGTTTCAAATATATTTCAAAGTTACTTTGTAGATGGACTGATTTTGATCAAACAGCTTCAAAACTTATTAATACCTTTAGGAAAATAGGTATCTAAACATCAACTACTTGATATTATTTTTCCTTTCATTAAAATATCAAGGTTAAAGGTAAACATCCATGGACTAATGTGTTTGGTGTCTCAACTCTACCTTCACCAGAAGCTGCCAATCCAAAAGAAGAAATCTTCAGATTAGCCATGGTTTCTGTCAACTGACGTACCTAAAGATGGGACGAATATCAGCAAAAAGTAAACTACATGTGATAAAAAAATAAAAATCACTGCTTCAAGAGGTCTATGGGAAATACTACTACAAAAGCCTTGTCTCCCCTACAGAAGTAGCTAGGATGTGTCTATAATGGAAAAGAATATGGCCGAAGTTAATTCAGAGCACCACCCTGAAAGAAAACTTATTAGACAGTACTTTAAGAATAAACTGTAAAAATAATTTCTGGAGAAAAACGGCATATGTCAGACCCCGCATCTAAATTTTGCTACGTATTTCTAATGGCCACAATCCAGCAGTAGAACTACAGGATCACTATTGCCCACAGTCTATCCTCCAACCTGTATGGAAGCACTGGATCTAGATATTGGGCCAGGGATCACATTATCATTTATGCCACCTTGCTGGTTTTATTTTTTTTAAAGAACTTTTCCAAATTTACTTATTTAAAGGTTTTTCTTGTACAAGACATAATATGGTATTTCTTGCCCCACTTTTTTTTTTTTGGCTTACCACTGCAAAGAGAACTGAACTATATGCCTGAAAGTTCCAAAGTATTCCACCAATCCTTTTACGCAAGCTGCACAGAAGCAATCTAATACTTCATCCTGGCAAATAAAATTCCTGATCATCTATTAAAAGCAAGCATGTGGGCAGCATGCTTAGTTTCACAAGTCAAAAGAAAATTATTTACAATATAGAAGTTTAGTGACTGAAAAGAATCTCTTTAAAGAAAGTTCTTCTATAAATCAGGTAAATTCCTCAGGAGATACTAAACGCGTCCATTCCCCTCCACTGTCTTTTTGCAATTAGAAGTACATTTATTTTAGCAGATGCTCACTAGTATTTTCTAAAAATACAATAATATTTTAACAGACTTATTTTCTTCTTTCGATTCTCACATTTACATTGCTTTTTCAAGAACGCTGCAATATTTGTGGATACGCTTGCCATTTCTGTAGTGTTAGGAATCCCATCTCACTATTTCTAAGTGAATACTATAGGTAAGATAGCTGAGCACATCAACAGCTTCACAACAGCTACAAACTAAACCTCAACTAAAAAGCACTCCTGTGACCAGAAACAGAGATTGGCCCAGTCACGATCTTTTTTAGATTAACAAGATACTAACTTTGGTTTAAATAGCATAAGTAATCCAAAAATCGCATGCAATTTTTGTAAAAACTATATAGCTACCAGTACCATCTATGCAGAAATACCTGCTGTGATAATCTATACATGCAGGTGCTAGATTTCCTTATTTCTTTTATTTGGCAATTTTTAAGTAATACTAAATATCTATCAATACTTGTTTACCTTTAATCCTTGTGTTTTGTGTACTTGAGCTTCTAAAACTACCGCTCACTGTCTTCCCCCGCTTCACATGCATATTCTTGCAAAACACCTCATCTTCACCCAGGAATAATAATGTTTATTGCATGTATGACATTCTCAGAATTAGACCCTGGTATTGCTTTGTTTACCACTGTTAGTGATCCACAGACCAGGCAATAAACCAAACCATTTTCCTACTTGTAATGGCTGTAGAAAGTAAAGTAAAACCTACTTTGGTCAAGAACCTAGGTAATGTTTGGAGGCATTTTTCAGGCTAGCAGCACAATAACCAATTGAGAAAAGCAATAATGAAGTACTAATCTTCAAAATAATTTTTGCAACTTTAATAATTTAATGGGTATTCAGGGACATGTTTTATTTTAACTTCGTTTTTTTTTTTTTTTGTCAAGAGTGGAAGAGGGAATGGAAGGAAAAAGGGAGAAGGCTGGGCATAAGTGCACAGAAAAGCATTTCAGCAGACAACAGTTCAATTACAAAGTTCTACTTAAACCCAGACATTTTTACGTTTGTTTTAGGGTGTAAATAAAACAATAACTAGCATGAACTAAATAGTGCCTTTACCAATACCAGACTAAACAACAATAATGTTGCCAAGAAATACCAGGCATCTATGAACTGGATTGTGCAGCTTATAAACTATTTTTTTCAGTTTTAGAACAGGAAAATCTAAAGTATTTTATTCTAATAAATCTTGATTTTTTTTATTCTAATGTATTTTTTTAAACTGATGAACAAATTTCTTATATGATTAAGAACCACATGATAAGAATGAAGCATTTTAACTCAGCTATGTAAAATATGACAGTAAGGTGCTTGTTTTTTTCTAAATCTAACTGTATTTGCATAAAACTGCACTGACAAAAAGGCATTCTTTTTGAAGTTTAAAGTGCAGAATAATTGTTTTAAGTTTCACTTTGTATTCTCCCTTTATCGTTTTTAAAAAAAAACAGAAGAGGCCTTGATTCTTGCTGAGACACTAACCTTCACTTACTGTTCACAGATGCAAAGGTCTGTGCACTAGAGAGCATGCTTTAAATGTCTTTCCTGTTGTCTTGTTGGTCAAGCAAATTAATTCACAAATAAAGCAAAGTACTCCGTTCAGTATCAATAAAACACACCAGAAGTGGATGTTTACCTCCTACCTTGTGACTCTGCAAGCTTCACAGAAAAACAAGACCATCTATATAAAAGTATTTTATCAATATAAAATAAGCTAAAGACAAATAGCTATTTCTAGTATAATCAGATGACAGAAGCGGATTGTGACGGGATCCCAAAATGTAGTCAACATTATTTGTTAGGTCAGAGCAACATATGCCACAGAACTTTCATAAATACACTTGTTGATTTAGGTCAATATGTAACAGTTCATCACAGAACTAAATTTAAGACATTTACTGATTGCACTATATGATAAAGGCTTATTCCTACAAGCTTTCCATGATGCTTTCCTGACACATGATAAATAAAGTTCTGTATTAACAATGCCTTTTGAGAGTGTCAGAATACTAATTCAGCAGTTGCAGCAGCAGCATGCCCAGAACTGGGATGCTAGTAAAACTCCTAGCTTCAACTGCACTACCTCCCCTCTCAAGTCTAAAGGATCATTATACTTAGTGTTGCTAAGTATCCACCTCAAGCTTTCAGAAGGGAATGATTCACATGAAATTTTCCCAAAGAGTAGAAATTCTCACATTAGCCACAATCGATTTATAAAATCTGTAACTGATCAACTACCACTATCCATTTAACCTACCTTCACTGGTTCTTAATGTAAACAGTTTCTATTTTCAAATCTTTCAGAAGACCTCACTCCTGACACAAAATTTTTTACACTCTGTACTGATGCTACATAACTATTACATAACAGTATCTGTACACTAACATAATTATTTCAGATTTCAACCAATCAGCTTGACTGAGGCCTACATAATGAAATTATGCAACGGCTAAAGCAATAGCTTTAAAAAATGCAAACTAAGGAGCACTAAAAACTAAAGAAAGCAATACATTCAATTAAATCTTGGGTATACTTGCAGAATGAAGTACACAAATTTGATTCAACATCAATAATAGTGTTCATTAAGAAAATGATTCTTGGCGGTTTAATAGCTGTGTTACAAGAGAACTTCTGGTGTTTAGGAGAAAATGCTTTTCAAGGCAGTAACTGTGTACTATATAGCATGCTTTCTTAGCACTCAAGAACAACAGAAAGGAAGTTATGGTTTTTTGTAACTTAAAATACAAGTTAATTGCAATGGGCATTTATTACGATGTAGAGCTTATCCACACACTACAAACAACAAAAATGTGTTGGCCAAATAAAGTACCAATAGGACAGCATAATATGCAAAGAATTAGAACTTCACTGACATTTCATCAACCCCAAATGATGGTAGAGATACAGCAAAATGTCAATGGAATTAGCTTTGGAATATAGAGTCACAGAGAAGGTGTAGGGTGCGTGTATATGTCGTTTTCAAACTCTTCAGTCATTTTTTGGATTTATCACATTAATTTAAAAAAAAATCCAAACAAAATAAACACCAAACCCCCTGAAAATACAAAACCCCAAAATCAAGACATTGAGGTAACACTGAATTTCTGATATAAGTCCAGTCCACACAGTACCCTGAATTCATTCAAGTGTGCTTGCTAATCAGAGACCTTCACTGACACTCCATTTTAGGCATCTATACAGTTGTATTACAATAAAATAACATTAAAAAAAAGTGAGGGGATCCAAGTTTAGTTTCGTCCTTAATCACTCAATGGGAAAATTATTTGAATGCTAACTACATGTTAGCAATGTGCTGTACATAGTTTAAAGATGTTTGAAACCTTCAGAAAATAAGCATACATCCTCTAAATATAACCAAACTCCACAACCCATAAATTGCATCATGAAAAAAACCCAGCTTTTGCATTTTCTAGCTGTCAGCTCTAAAGTTACCTTATACTCATTTGCAGTAATCCGCTCTGGTTCTTTTCTCTTCTTTTTCCCTTTTTTATCCTTGCTGTGCTGAGCACCAGAGGCCTGGTAAGACTGCAGATCCACTCGTGAATGAAACTGGTACCGTCCGCTTTCCACATCACAGTAGTAATAAATTCCAGTTGCTGGATCATAATACAGTTGGTTTTCCTTTATAAGAAACAAAGAACAATGTTATCATCACTTCAATAAACACATTGTTAAAAGAAGCACCTAGTTAATAAAGTACCACATACTAAGTTAAAAAAAAATAAACATACTAAAGAAATGTGGTGGCTTGACCCTGGCTGGCTACCAGGTACCATCCAGCTGCTCTCAACCCCCCTCCTCAACAAGACTGGGGGAGAAAATAAGATGAAAAGCTTAGAGGTCAAGATACAGACAGGGAGATTACCATCATGCACAAGCTAGATTTGACTTGGTGAAAATAAATTTAATTTATTGCCAGTTAAAAGAGCGCTGGAAGATGAGGAACAAAGACAAAACACCTCTCCCCAACCCTTTTTTCCCAAGCTCTACTTCACTCCCTCATTGCCAACACCTCTACTTCTCTTGCTGAGAGAAAGTCTGAGCAGTGCAGGGAGGTAAGACGTTGGGGGCTGCTGTCAGTTCATAACAGTTCCTCTCTGCTGCTCTCTCCCCCTCACACTTTTCCCCTGTCCAGCATGGGTCCTTGCCATGGTCTGCAGTCCTTCAAGAACTGCTCCAGTGTGGGTCCTCCAAAAGCCACAGCTCCTGCGAGGGGAACCTGCTCTGGCATGGGCTCTTCATGGGCCACAGCTCCTTAAGGAGCTGCTCTAGTGTTGGGTCCTCCACAGACTGCAGTGTGAATACCTACTCCAGCGTGGCCCTCTTCCATGGACTGAAGGGAACTGCCTGCTCCAGGGCCTGGAGAACATTCCGCTCCTTCTTCTTTGACCTTGGCGTTTGCAGCGTTGTTTTTCCACACACACACCCTGCACACACACTCCACTGTAAGTGCTTTGCCCTTTCTTAAACATGCTTTCACACAAGCACCATGAACTTCTCTGATAGGCTCAGCTGTGTCCTACAGTGGAACCAGCTGTGTCCAGGCAGCCCCTGACCTCTTCTCACAAAGGCCAGTAAACCAAATACAAGAACATTTCCTGTAATTCTAAACAATTACTGGACAAGAAAATATATTATTTTCTGTAGTTGTACCATAAAATGTTATCTATACATGATGACCCAAACATTTATGTATCTAACTATATCCACGAACTACGTCAAAGCCAATGGTATCATTTAAGACTTTAGATAATAAGTCCAGAAGTGTCCCTGAAAACAAAGCAAGTAAGTTTTGTGTACCACATGCACCTTTTTTTTTTTTTCCTAAACTGACATGAATGTAATGCTGCAAACAGAACTTCTGTTTTCAGCAGAGTAGTTCCACTGGGATTTGTGACAGTGTATATACCTATCTATATATGAATGTACATATACACATGCTTCATAGGACAAAAAGAAAACCTCCCCAAAAGCTTTCTTATGAAAAACATATAGCAGAAATTAACCATCATGAAATTTTGATCCACTGTCTGACATCTTTTTTCAAAGTTTTTTCTTTCCTGTGACATCTAACTAGTTAGTAACAGCACTCAAGTATAAGTACAAGGATTTTGTTTATTTTCTCTCAACACGCTTTTCACTGTGGAGAAGCCACTGACTTAGTTCAGCCATCTTGTCTTTTCCTAAACAAGTCATCTTTTAGCCCAAGCTGTTAATTTTGAAAGTTACAAAGCAGCTTTATAGTATAAAATTTCTACAATGTCAATCAAGTTAAAGATCTAGGAGACATCAAAAAGAACTGAATGACAATCTAAATTTATATCTTAGCATATCTTTAACTTGACTGAAATCATTTGACAACTAATTAACAAATTTCCATTACTATTCATCTTCAGTTACATGTTTTTTAAATCATAAAGTCAGCTTGGATCTTAGTTCTTCGCTCATATCAACTTTTACTACTATAACTTTTGCAATATAGAAAAAATGCCAAGGGTTTTGAAAACAATCCTTACCGAATTATAGTAGAACCCAGTGCTATGATCATAATACAGTCCTGTATTTTCATCGTAAATAAATCCGGTTTGTGAAACAGCAGCTTCTGCAGCAGCTCGCAAGCTCTCTGCCAAAGAACTCTCTGCTACTGAAGTATCTTCTGCTTCCTGATACCAGAAATTAAGAAATTAAATTTTCTTCTGAAGAGAACCTCCTTGGTTCTTTAGCATTTTACAACACTCTATTCTACATAAAACAAATTAGTACTCTATGGACTTTCAATTGTTTCAAGAATTGTTAAACAAGAAGGCAAAAATCTCGATGTAGTTTACTCATAATTTCAATGGGACCAAGACTTCATCCTGGGCCTTTTGTTTTCCCCAACTTTTACTCAAATGTGGTTCATATCAAAAACATACACAGTGAAAATACCTTTCAGTACATTCCTAAAACAAATTTCTGCTCTCCATTCCATTTCAGTTGCTAGATACTAAGGCACAAAATCAGTTAAGTGAGTGAGATGAAGCGAGTGATCTAAGAGAACGCTGGATACCAGGTAAAAAAAACCCACAACAAAATAAACAATACCCCACAACATCTTTTTTTTTATATGTTGCCTCTTTATACCAATGGAGGAACAAAATAATCAACACAGTACACTAAGAAAGTCAGCATGACCATACTCCACTGATAAAAAATTGCCACACTTCCAGGCTACCTAGGACATATGTTTTAGAAAGCGCCTTTTTTTAAAAAGAAACAAACAAGCAAATCTAGAGGATGTTACACTTGTAACATACTACAAAAAGAACCAGTTTCAAAGCACAAAGATGTTGTCTGCTATCATCAGCATCAGACTATCACAAAAAATCATTTCATACAATGACATCAAGACCAAAAGCCATCTTCTAAATGAAATGAAATATTTAATAAGAGCGCTGACTTCAAAATTGGTAAACCCCCAAACAGTTCTATAACCTGTGAATTCTGGATGAAATTTTCCTCTTCTCCACCTTCAGCAACTTTGGTGCTATCTATCCGTAAAGGAATATTAACATCTGTCTGCAATTCTTCTGTGGAATTATGCTCAGTGCCTTCAGTCCCATGATTGTGCTGCACTGGCAGTTCAGATGCACAGTCTTGATTATCAGTGTGATTGTAATAATTTTCATAGTAGTAATAGTCTGTAGGGGGAAAAAAAAAATTGAAGTTGCGTAAGTTAGCAAAGCACTATTTTACACAATGCAGTTTAAGGATCCTAAATCTTAAACTGGAAATTTATGCATGTAAATAGTTCAATGAAAATCAATGATTAGGTACTGCCTCTGCTTTGAATTTATTCTACTCTTACTGAACAAATTATGTCTTGTTTTAGTGTACTTTAAAAATTGGAAAAACATGTATGTGTTTAATGTATTAGATTACTATATAACGGATTACTATGGCATGAATCCTGCTACAGTCCGTACTACATTTTATTCTGTTATAAAACGAATGGCTTGAATAAATATGAAATGGTCCGAAAGATAATGTCAGGTTACTGAGCTCAGTGCAGCTAAGGATATACACTTGAAATGTCCTTTGTATTAAAAAAATTTCAAAATAAGATACTGTTCTAGATGCCTGTTCAAGCAACCACCACCCGCTCTACCTGCTTGTAACCATGCAGCATAGTCCTCTGTCTGTACTTCCACACTAGACGTAACTTTCTCCTTCCTGTTACGGAGTTCCTTAGTGAGCTCTTCAACCTGAAAGCAAAACAGCGTGTTACAGAACACAACGCTACATTTTAGCTATTTCATATTCTATAATTCAAACAAAACGCAATTGCATCATAGGCACTTCAATTGATCTTTGTTTGGCAGGAGACAATTTTCTATTTGCAATGGTCAGCATAAAGATTAACATAATTTCTGCTCAGAATAATAAAGGCGAGCACTTGGGAGGAAAAAGAAAAACTTAACCAAGGTTATTCTTAAGACTCACACCCTGAAAAGCTGGATTTCAAGCAATAACCACTGTTCTGTGGTGACGAATGGTGGCATTTATGAAACTTCTCTGTTCTGGCATAAGCATTTGTGCGACAGTTCTTTCACTCCTCCCTTACCTGACCTTGTTTACTGAGTTTCTTTCCTTCTGCTAAACGTGTTTTTATCTTCTGACTGCGAAACCAGCTGTGCTTTATCATTCTCCCCCGGCCCCGCAGCCTGTCGGGCCAGACGCTGATCGCAGGCTCGGGACAGCAGGCTCCAGCCAGCAGCCCCAGCACTTTCTCTGATCGCTGAGGCCCCGCAGGCCAAGAGAGCCTGGCGGGCTCCGGGAGGCGCGGGACCCGGGGGTCCCGTAAGCTCAGCCCGGGCGGAGGCGGCTCGCCGAGGGGCATC